AAATCATGATAAGGATTCCTAATATAGAAACCCTACATTCTACCATATAGGTGCTTTGGACCCTTTGGGTAGATCCGGTTTCGAACACTCTTGAGTTTGAAGGGTTTGAGGCTTGGTGATCTAGGAATCGCGCATGGAGTGTGCAGGTTTAAGGTTTAACGTAAGTGCATGGTTTAGGATTTCGGGTGTCGGGTTTAGGGTGTAGGGTAGGATTCAGGAAATCGCTTTCGGGTGCAGGATCTAGGGTCTGTGACGCTGCCTCATAACATGGCCCTAAACCCTAAAGCCCTAAACCTCAAACAAAGCCTTCATAACATCCCTAAGCCCTAAACCCTAAACCCTAAAGCCCTAAACCTCAAAGCCTTCATACCTAAAGTCCTTAGGCCTTATAAGCCCTATAAACCCCGAAAAAGCAGCTACAGTCCCAGGCATCAGCGCCTGTGCCAAGAAAGGCCGCTGGGAGTCAGCTCCTAGGTTTCTGGAGTTGGACTCAGGGCTCTTGGGTTCTTCTGTTACTGGCGTTCGATGGGTTTTTGTTTGGTTTATGGGGTGTTCAGCGGTTTTTGTTTCGGATGTTGAGGGTTTTTTGGGATGCGTAGGTGTTGTGTGGGACGTTGAGGGTTTTTGTGGGATTGTAAGTGTTGCGTGGATTAAGCCTGGTTTATGGTTGTCGTTTTGGAATTGATTTCTCTTAATGGGTCTTCTGGTTTTGATGGGCTTCGCGGGATGTTGCTGGCGTTTTCACGATTCTGCGCTCGAAGCCCTAGTACCCCGAAGGAGCTTAACCCTAAACCCTAAACCCAAAGCCCTTAACCCTAGAACCCTAAACCCTTTTACTGAACCCCTAAAGCCCTAAGCTGCGTCCTAGAAACCTAGACCATAAACCCTAAACCCTAAAAGCCGAATCCCCAAACCCTAAAATCCTAAACCCTAACCCCTAAACCCTAAACCCTAAACCCTAAAACCCTAAACCCTAAACCCTACACCCTAAACCCTAAACCCTAAACCCTAAACCCTAAACCCTACCCTTTTAAACAGCACCCTCTTTGGAACGCTCCAAAAAAAACGCTTCAAGCTCAGACCCAGGCTCTTCATCTCTTCGAAGCGACTTAGAGTCGCCAATGGGAGAACTTTAATGTTTTTTGGCTTTATAGGGTTTAGGGTTTATTGGTTTAGGGTTTAGGGTTTAGGGTTTAGGGTTTAGGGTTTAGGGTTTAGGGTTTAGGGTTTCAGGATTAGGTCTATCCTAAAAGAATTTGAACTTTTTTGGGGGCCTGGTTGTTGAAGAAGAGAGGAGATGCATCGACGGCACCTTCGGAGGCTTCTGGGGGCTCTCCTCGGATGCGGCTTTGGGGTTTTTATAGGGGTTCATGAAAAGGGTTCTAGAGTTCTAGGGTTTGGGGTTTGGGGTTTGGGGTTTAGGGTTTAGGGTTTAGTTTAGGGTTTAAGGGTTCTAGGGTTCTAGGGTTTAGGGGTTTAGGGTTCTAGGGTTCTAGGGTTCTAGGGTTCTAGGGTTTAGGGTTTGGGGTTTAGGGTTCAGGGTGGGGGTCATCAGGAGTCATGTTTCCACTCGTTTCCGTGAGCTCTCAACTTATACCCTAAAGCTTTCAAGGAGGTCTAGCTGTAGTCTCCATTGTAGTTCCTTTTTGGGGGTACCTTTCAAGATCCTGAATATCAAATGAAATTGGCTAAGCCAAAAGGAACTGCAATGAAGATTATAGGTAATATCCATTACTGGAAGAATATCCGTTACTGGAAGGTTGCTACCGCGACGATCACTATTCACTCCCTCAACGTGTGAGTAGCGTACGGCCTAAGAATTAGAATAGGGTTTTGGGCTCCTCCATAGTATGCTTTCAAGTGTCGCCGGCCCCAGTAACAGTCACCACAAACAGAAGCACTGCAAAAAGCACCAGCAAACCATCCATTTTCTGGTGCTAAGCTTTGTGGTCATGATTGTGCCTTTTCTGTTGCCATATTTTGTGCTCATGATTGTGATTTTTCTGGTGCTAAACTTTGTGCTCATCATTGTGCTTTTTCTGGTGCTAAATTTGGTGCTCATGATTGTGCTTTTATGATGCTACATGTGAAGCCAAATAAATCGCCTCATGAACGCATACTTGCAGTCTTGATGTTCGGCAAATTCTGTGCTAATGATTGGGCTTTTCATGGTGCTAAAGTTTGTGCCCGTGATTGTTCTTTTCTGGTGCTAAACTTATTTGCGCTCATGACTGTGCTTTTTCTGGTGCTCAACTTTGTGCTCATGATTGTGCTTTTCCAGGTGCTGAAGGCTGCTATAGATTCTATCCACTGGGCCTATCCTGGCGCTCATGTCTGCCTGTGTGATATAAGCGGAGCCTTTATTTAACGGTTAGATGGGACCGCAGCGTTTGAAAGTATGATTGTAATAAGGAACCCTCAAGAATACTGTTGGCAATTGTTTGGGCTTCTAAAGTAACATTTCTGTCTTGGGCTCTTGTGGAGTCCGCGGGATTGTAGGCTTCCAACTGAACACTACGACTTGGCCAGGAGTTTGGGTCGTTTGGATCGGGTATTAAGGGTTTTAGTTGCCCTACACCCTACCTGGGGATCCACTAACCTGCCGTTTTGAGGGTTATTCCTTGTCATTGAAGGGTTATGACCTTCTGTTTTGTAGGTCTTGGGTCTACAGGCAAACGTACCCCAAACACTGGTTTGTAGGCTTCTCACGTTTTTTCACGTGTAGAGTGACTTCAAGTGCCTTGAACCCTGAACCCTAAACCCTAAACCCTAAACCCTGTAAATCCTGTAAACCCTATAAACCCTACAAACCCTATAAACCCTATAAAAACTAAACCCTAAACCCTTATATTAGGCTGTTGACCGTGTCCAGCGCTTCGCTTTCAGACGATGGGTCTGACGGCAGCCCTTCTTTGCTTCTATGGTAAACCCGGTGCCCCGAGACCTTGAATCAACATACTGTTAGGGTTTAGGGTTTGGGGTTTAGGGTTTGGGGTTTAGGGTTTAGGGTTTAGGGTTTGGGGTTTGGGGTTTAGGGTTTGGGGTTGAGGAGTTATAGACCCATAAGCCATATGCCGATCATTGAACCCTAAGCCCAGATCCAAAAAAAGAAACAAAAGCCTCGCCAGTCAGGGACGAGTTCAGTGGCTCCGCTGCCATCAACGCCTTCTCCCCGCAGCTTGGAGGTTTAGGTTTTAGCGTTTCGGGTTTAAGGCATGGGGGGGGGCTTGTTCTTGGGTTGTTCGTTGCTTTGCTGTTATGTTAGATTTTCGATTCTCCCGTATATAACACGTTTATTGGTTGAACCTTTGGAATGAAGGAGCCTGATTGAAGAAAGACGGCTAGCTGCAGTGCAACCTCTAGTATGACCCACAGACTTCCAAGTTTCCAAAAGAAGCACAGCCAAAGTGTCCAGGGTACCTATGTGGTAGAATGTAGGGCTTCTACATGACGACTCCTTCTCATGATTTGGGAAAGTATCCCCCGTAACAGTACCTAGGACCCTTTGGGACATTAAACCCTAAACCCTGAATCCTCAAGCATCAAGCATACACCGCCCCAGACAGCACCCCTAAACCCTATACCCTAAATCCTGAGTTCCGGGAGCCTTTACCCTGAGCTGCTGGACCGAAACCCTGATCACTGTGCCCGACAGGTCTACCTTAACTGTGGCTAAGTGTAGGGGCCTTGATAATTAGAATAGGGTTTTGGGCTCCTTTCAAGTATAACTACAATAGGGGCATCTAAGGAATGATTTCGGTAATTATTTAGGCTTCTAAATTCAATGTAGACCCTAAGGACCATCACAAACCCCAATCGTAGAAGGGGTTGCTGGCATTCTGTGATTCTGCAGGGACTCGTATCTAGGGTAATGTACACCCAAAGGGTGCTCCTAAGTACCTCTATGGGGGAAGCTTGCCCAAACCATAGTAGTAATTCCTATTATAGAAACCCAATACATTCTACTATATAGGTGCTTCGGACCCCGTGGGACAAACACAGATGAGGGCTCGGAAGCCACGAACCCCAAGCTGCAAAGACCTGAAAGGCTGGGTTGCGCAGCAAAACTGACAAGCAAGTCCGTGAGTATAGAGGCCTGAATAATTACCAACACTCCTTCTTACATTTTTGTACAATGGACCCCAAAACCCTATTCTAATTCTTAAGGCCTCTATATTATGATCAGTTGTGGTATTCAATCTAAGCACCCCCGCCCCCAGGCCACCGTAAACGCGAAAGCAAAGCCTCAACCCCAAAGCCTACTGCTCCTAACCTCCCAAAACCGTAACCCTCCGAGTTCTGAAGCCGGTGGCAAATCAACAAAGAACCCCCGCCCATCAACAAACCTAGCCAGTCCAGACCAGGCAGACCAAATCGTCTAAGTCATGACAACCGAAGTGACAATAGCACCACCCGAAACCCTTAACCAACCCCTGAACCCCTATCCCTTAACCCTTTACCTTCAACCTTTAGCCCTAAACCAACTTGTAAACCGTGCTCTTTTGATTCCCAAGGCAGGGCCGCTGGCCTCGGTCATTGGGCCTTCTCAAGGCCCTACACGTGATCTTCGTCCTTCCTTCCGAGAGGCCGGTTTGTGGTTTAGGGTTTATAGATTTAGGGTTTAGGGCTCAGTTTCTATTCTATCAGGGTTACAATAAGGGTTCCTTCAAAACGGGTTCTATCAGGGAAACGTGAAGGGTTATTATAAGGATAAGGTTGCGGGCTTGGGGTTATCGGTTTTCATGACGGTTTCAGGAGGGATGAAGATGGCCTTGGTAGGGTTTGTTGACGCTTCTAGAAGGGTGTCTGATGGTTTCAGATTCCCCTTTGGGGGGAGGGGTTTTCAGATGGTGCAAGGGCATAAGAAGATTTCGCAAGGGCTAGCACTGGCAATCCAGGTCCTCTTGTTGTCTATAGGGTGAGAGAGGTTCCGCATTACCTCAGCATTACAAGCTCCTAGAGCCAAAGCCCGAGCCCCAAACCCCCCACCCTCAACCCGCAACCCGAAAATGTCAACACTTGCAGCGTTGATCTTACCCTAACCGCCCAGGTACCTACTATATAGGGCCCTAGGGGCTCTAGTACCCTATATAGTAGGTACCTGGGGGGTTAGGGTTACTATCATATACATGGCTGGTGTTAATAAACCAAATCATCTGAAGGACGAGTCGATCAAGCACTCACAGCCCTGGTAGACACTAAACCCCTAAACCCCAAGCCCCAAACGCTAAGAGGCTAAGAGCCCTAAACCCTCAACCCAAAAACCCTAAACCCTAAACCCCTAAGAGCCCCAAACCCTAAGAGCCCTAAGCCCCTGTTTCCTCAACTCCTAAACCGTGGCTCTTGGAGCCTTGTTTGCAGGAGCTTCGCCTGCTGCAGCGCTGACACTAGGCTGATTGGTGATATGCACTTTTGCCTTTTTGTCTCTGGGCTCCTATTCTAATATATCCAAAACATATCTAGTCCAAAAAGCCCCCTAAATTCTGAACCCCAAACCCTAAACTCTAAACCCAAAACCCAAAACCCTAAACCCTTATAAACTCTAACCCCTAAACTTTAACCCTAAACCCTAAACTCTAAACCCTAAACCCGAAACCCTGAACCCTAAACCCGTGGGCTGGTGATTTACTGAACAGCCCAGGTCATCACTGCCTGCGAGAAGGGGCGCAGCTGGAAGATGGCGAGCCTTCTTTTTCAGGTCGGAGCTTCGGTTTTTGGGGCTTAGGATTTATAGGGCTTAGGGTTTGTGGGGTATAGGGTTTAGGATTTATAGGGCTTAGGGTTTGTGGTGTATGTAAGGTTTATTTGGGATAGGGTTTAGGGTGTATAGGGTTTAGGGTGTATAGGGTTTAGGGTTTATAGGGCTTAGGGTTTATAGGGCTTAGGGTTTGTGGTGTATGTAGGGTTTATGGGGTATAGGGTTTAGGGTTTATAGGGCTTAGGATTTATAGGGCTTGGGGTTTATAGGGCTTAGGGTTTGGGGTTTAGGGTATAGGACTTTGGGTTTATAGGGTTTAGGGTTTAGACTTTATGGTTGAATCAAC